GAGGTTTTTCTTCTGAAAACCTGTGACTCTACTTGAAAAGATTTTCCTTTTTTATTCATTCTTATTAGTGAGAATATGAAAAATTGCATTTACAACTCCATCACTTTTCCTCTAAAAAACAAATATGTATGCGTTTATACTTTGTTCACCCGAATAAACCCTTTGAATCTGAAAACTATGAATAACTTGATTTTGTATTAATATTTCCTGGGGTAGTTCTATCTTTGGAGGTCCTTTTGAAAGCGTAGGACTAGGACTTTCGTCACATTATAACTGGATTTTTGACTAGAAAATTCATTGGGTGTTTATTGATGGTATACCTTTACCCAATTGGTGTTGTCTCTTGTATTAGAGAGTTGTGCACTTTAGATATAATAACACATTATTTGTTGAGGCAAAGTTACTATGTCTAATAACATGGATCAGGATCCCCTCTGACATATTTCTTCTTCAATTTTTTTCTTGGCGGATTATCTGCCATTAATGAGTGAAGAACTTATTTGTATAGTTATATACAATAGATCTCACTTGAATACAAGATAATGATCCATAACAAAAATTGAAGTAAAAATGTATTGAAAGAGATCTCATTCTGAATAATACATTGCACGAGTACTTGTGTGCAAACTAGGGTAGAAATGAATAATTCCATATGTAACGGCAACATTAACACAATTTATCTTTTATTTTCTCTCACTTCCTATATCAGCAAAATACTTCATATTCTTTTATAAAGTTTTATTGACATTTTGTCCCCCTCCCCTTCCCCCTTTCCCCTCCCCCCCAACAAAATAAAATAAAATATTGAAATTTTTTCCCGAAAATCAATTTACATACAATTCGCATGGTGCACTACTAGTTTAAATTAAAAGGCCAGTATTTCCAATATTTTCCAGCACAGCAACTAATGTAGGAAAATAATGCTAAAGTGGGAATTAAATTTGAGAGGATATTATTTGGGAAAAACTCCAACTGAACTAGTGGGACTAGACTTCCAAATTTTCTGATTAAAAACACAAAAAATAAATAAATTTGTCCCCTTTTTCTGAAACCAAAATAAATGTTTCTTAAAAACAAGAAAACTAAAACTGTTTCCAAGCTTTTTTTAAAAATTTTTGTTTTTTCTAAAAAAATTAAAAAAAAAAAAAAAAAGAAACGATACCAAACAAGTCTTTACGTATTTCTTAATATTAATTGGCATTATTCTGTAGACAGACCTTCCAATTATTCAGTCATAATTAGGCAAAGCCAGAAAATGTTATCAGTGTGATCCACATTAGGAATTCATATTCTAAAGACAACATTTGGAGTAATTAGCAGTATGACACAGTTATTAATCTAATATGGACAACAACACTACAAAGCGACTAAGTTAATTTGTCATTAGTTTAACTGGTGGGTTAATTGAGCAGATTGGCCATACTATAAAAAATGGTTCTAAACAATATAGTTTATAAAGCGTATACAAATTATGCATCCCATCCAATTTGGATTTTAAAGTAACTACAACTAAGCTCAAAAAAATAACTAGTAAAAATATATTTAAATATTATATTCTCTATTTTAATAAGTCACTTTTTTAAATTCACTCCAACTACACTCTGTTTTAACTAACAACTTCAACTAACTTTAAACTAGTTTTCAATAATATAATTTAAAAATATCACGTGGTCTAACATGTAAACACCATAATAATGACGGTGCATGATGATGTGTCGTGTCATGTCATCAACCTAAATCATACATTATTCATGTAATTCAACCCAATGTATGCTACAACAATAATTCTAATCAAACTTCAAATAATACAACCTAATAGCAATTTAACACCTATCAACTTCAAATAACAAAAACCAATTATTGATAGCAACTCAACCATGCGTTATAAAAATTTAACCAAAAATCAATAGCAAATTAACCACATATTTAACCAAAAATCAATATCAATCAATAACAAAAATCAATAGAGATTGGGGGTTTCAGCATTGGGGGGTGGGGAGGTGGGGTGGGTTTCAGCATGGGGAGGGGCAAGGGGTTTCGAAATTGGGGGGGAGGGGGAGTTGTTCAGCAGCAAAACAGAGGGGTGGGAGTGTGAAGAGAAAGATGAATACCTGACAGTTCAGTTGGAAAAGATCAGTAGTAAGAAGCATGAAGGCCTCTCCAGAGCATGAAGGTCTCCTAGGTTTAGGCGAGGAGGATAACTAGCCAGGTTAGAGTAGGTTTTTGGAGTCAGACTCTCAAAAATTGAAGGATAGCTAATTGGGTTAGAGATGCTCTTAGCTAGTTGACCCGTCCGGCCTGTTTAGGCTTGGTTTAATGACACGTGTCTGTCATGCTATAAAACTTTGGTTCATTTAGATATTAGGTTCAAGTCTAATTGTCATCCCAGGTTATCCATGTTGCGTTCGTGAATTGCAATGCGAGATTTTCATCTTGCGGGGTTACATATATATTAATTTGACTATGTAACTCCACCATGTGTGAGCATGAAATTAGATATGTAATATTTGAAAATTTTTGAATTTTTATGAAAAATGACAAAATAGTAATTAGCTACTATAGTACGAGTTAGAAACTTAAATTTTTCTAGAATTTGGATGATGAAACGGACTTTACCGTTATATTTGTCTAGAACTTGGATGATGAAACGGACTTTACCGTTATATTTGTCTAACGAAATCTAGTTACTCAATCAATTTTCATCAAATTACAAGACACTCAAATTTTTTACGTTTTACGAAGCAATCGGTGTCACGTGACCTAAATAAATGAGACCGGGAATTAAATTGCAAAAAGTGAAAAATAATTTACATTTACTTCAAATAAAATTTTTTGAACTTGAACCAAAACGAAATTTAATTGATTTAGGACAAAATCGAACCTGAGAAAGGTAAACCTGTGACGCAATGTGGGCCAAGTGTCCAAGAAGTATAAATAGAGGAGAAAATAGATTTTTTCCCCATTTGACCATCAAATTTTCGCTGGAAAAAAGAGAGAGGGAAGAGGAGAGGAACAATCAAGGGATTCTTCAAGCTTTTCTGTACGATCTATGACTTTTCCTTGGTCGAATTACCTTGGGCAAAGAAGAGAGAGTGTTCTACTCGACATGAGCTACAAAACCATACCAAAAATCGAAGGTCTAAATGAAATTCAAATAATGGGATTTTAGGAATCAAGGGTTAGAGCTTAATTTGAGTCTTGGAAGGCTTTCTTCCACTTGTTTTACACTTCAGGAGGTAGGGTTCTTCTCCTAACTAGGTTTATTTTCAACCTAGGGTTCCATATGATATGGGTAGCATAATTTGAGATGAATTATCTTGTTTGATGTACTCCTAGTATAACTAGAATATGGGAAATGGGTGTAAAAATATGTTAAACCAATCTTACATGAATTGAGTTCGTAGAATTTACTTGTTTGGTAAATTCATAGGAAATGTTATAAATTGGATATGATTGTGTGTTACATGATTGTATATCTTTTGGGTGTTTGATAAAATGTCTATGTTGATGTAATATGTTGGTTCCACTGAAAATGTTATAACATGCTTGGTAAAATTAATTCTAACATGAATTGGGTATTTAGAAATTTGTTTGTAATTTCTTGTAAAACGTATTGATTGGACATGCAAAGTGTTTTCATTTATGTCTTGAAGATGTTTAATGAAATGCCTATGTGGATTAAGTGTATTATTTACATTGATTATGTTATGACATACTTGGGAGTTGATGTTGGTATATGCATTATTATATATTGACATTAAGGTTGTTGATGGTGGTTACATGTTTATGATGTAATTGACCATAAAAAATGTTGAAGGATATTTAAGATGTTTATATTGAGCTCATAATATGTGAACATGATAATGAAATTCCAAGTGTAAACTATGTTTGCATATGCACGGAAATCATCGCATTCGTGGGCATTTGACACGAGTGTAAATATGTGTGCATGCTTTTGGATCAAATATCATTCTTGGTAGTTGAGGCGTGGACTCGGGAAGGTTAAACCTAGGTCCAACTGAGTTATACGATTGCATGAAAAACTTGTGTCGGATATAGTAAGAAGGGTTAGATTTTCCCTTGGGTATAAGACCTGGTTACCAGTTTATACACTTCTGACAGTGCAAGTTCAAAAAAGCGTATTGATGTGCAAAACCAGTGATGAGACACCAAAATCCGTGTACCCAAGAAAAACATATATTTATTTTATAAAATAATCATTGGATGTGTAACATCAATGACGGGAGTTTAAAATGCCTAAATTCATACGCATAACATTGCAAGTGTTATGGAAGCTAGTGAAAGCTCAGGTTGAGTTGTATGTTTGAGTCTCATCTCATGACATGACATAAAAAATCTATTTTGAATTGCATATTCTTAAATGAATTGTTTGTTGACTGTTGAATTGCATATGAACATTTTATATGTATCTAAGTTTGGGAGTTGCTTTTTTATGAGATACTCTATTGATTGTAGCTCACCCTTTATGAGGACAATATTTCAAGTGCAGAACATGCACCTATGGATGACTCTCATTCGAACCCTTATTGATCAAAAAAAGTCAAGATGTTACTTTAAATTACGTTTTTGTAAAACACGTGTAAATATTTTTAGACATGTAATATTGTGCAAAAATTGCAAAACAAACTCATATCAATTGTATTTTGTGTAAAATTGTTGTTATATGAGTTTAGGTGATTATTATAAGACTATGTATAAATAGACCCAGTGTGGTCAATATTGTACGATTGCACATATTGACTTTTAAGTAAAACTCCCGTACAAATGAGACTCAGCCCAAATTTTGTTAAGTTATGGATTTCGGTAAATGGGACATACCGGTGTGATATTGAGTTACACAGTATTCACAAGTATTCTGCGCGTTAATGGGTGATCAACAGAATAATTACAGGCATCAAAATTTTGGGGGCTTCACAAGTCATGAAATCAATTTCAAGAACTAGATATACTCTATATAGTATAAAAAACACTATAATGTTCATGCCACTTGCTGACAGTCTAGATTGATAATGGACGAATAATAAGTAAGCCACTCAATGAAAAATCATACAATCTCATCTTATGTATGTTAATTTTCCAACCACAACGCTGCATGATATGGGAACAAGACACTGGAATATACATTGTGTAGCACTCAAAGACCACCTTGCAGTCACATACAGGAAACAAATACAGAACTCTTCAAGGTCGACCACAACCATCTGAGTTCCAGCAGAAATTATAGAACAGCTAGTCAGAAAAAGTCCCGAGATGCCAAAAGTGCATTCCATGTCGCACATGAACGAAGCTATGCCACTACGAGTGCAAAAAATGCAGCACAAATTTCGAGAAACAAAAAGGGAGGCCCATGAAGCCTTTGCAAATCAATAGCATAACGTTCTCCACTTGCTTTATAAAGCTGTTGAGATAGGGGAAGGGGAATAAGAAAACTTTACTGGAACAGAGCCACCAAAAAAGATAAAGCCTCCAGAACTTTGCAAAGTACTTTACGCTAATGACATTCAGTGAGTAAAAATATATTACTCAATCCTAGTGAATCCATTTAAAAGAAACAAAAAACACATACACTGATTCAGACATTGCAAGTTTATGTAGTTTTTTTAATAACATTGAAGCATTTTGGAGAATAATCAATAATAAAAAACTTGTATGCTGAACTCCTGGAACCTCTAGACTCCATTCAAACAATACCTTGGGTTTTTATTTAAATAGTGTGTTCGTTTCAGGTATCTTTGGCTTTCATCAAAACAGTGATTTAGTTAGTTTGACGGCGGCCAGGCTTTGTCCTAAGATCTCACTGCTCAAAGTTGAGCACACAGTAACGGTGTATTTGTACCAGCAGATGTTGAACCTCAAATCTTCTACTTTCAAGAGGGCATGACATACAACTATACCAAAATTCAGAGGGGAAAAAGATATACTCTCACTATAGTAAACAACAACTATAGTGAATGATCCAGAGCTGCTTCTTAAGGCACTCGTATTTGGAGGCTGATTTACCTGATCTAAAAGTTCTCTCCACAATTTTTGTTATCAATCTTATTACCCGTTATCAGTTCGATCATTTAAAAATGAATCTGAAACTTTGTGAAGCAATTGACAAAATTCAATTGGGACCAAAATGACAGTTGGTGCATACTTGGGATACCATTTTGTATTTTTGCCCTATACAGTTGCTCAAACTAAATTAAACTTGAGCTTGAACTACAGGTCTAACCCAGCTATAGACAGTCGGAGTATTACCTGAATTTCAAACTTGATCGGATCACGTGATCTAGCACCTGTCCGATCTTCTTCATGACCATCAATCGGTTTTATTTCAGTGGAATTATCATTAAGTTCGGCCCTGGAATGGGTACCAAATGGAGGTAGCCAGAGACATTTCATGTTGCAATGTCCTATCTTCTTCCATCGAACATTCAGGCTGTAAAAAACCTTCAGAACACCCATCATCGTTTCATGTGGAGATGCTCGAGACTAGATATAACACAAAATCATTAACACCTAAATTCAGTAAACATGTTTATGGCAGTTAGTTTAATTATAAAGAAATTCTTAAGGCATTTATTATTGCCAACAAGTCTAATAGAATGTAAACAGTTGGGAAAAGAAAAACCTTAAAACCCAGTGTCCACTTTCCTTGAGCAGGATCAGGTGATCTCAAATATATCTCAGGACAATCCATGCCCTGACGTGGCTGCAAAATCAGACATTAATAATTAGCAATGTATCAACTGAAACCCCAATGACATATGAGGCTGTCTCACTGTTGAACTTGTCCCCTGGGAAGGTACTATGCCAATTTCCTTTATCAAAACAAAGCTGGCAACTCTTTAACATTCTCTTTTCTCAACGTAGGTTGCAACTTTCCCTTATCAATCTCTCTTTAAAATTCCAATATAGGCCCCAATATTTTATCATCCCTTTACTTGGAATGCATACTTGATAAAAATTGTATTGAAAGTCTCCAGAACAGGTACATTCCTTGAAGTTCAAACCATTAATTTCCATGTGTTTGATCCCCATGATTCTGGATTGGCCTTAACACTGATTTTGAGTTTAGATTTTAGAATGTGACTTGGAAGGTGCTTACCCCCGTAATAAGGCTTTACCAGCATAATTAGAAGAACTTGGAGACTTCGAATGGTAATCGGTTGCCATGACTTGACTTCAACTAGGTAGGGTATTTTGATCATTTTGACCCGAAATTATGTTTTATCTTCAAAGCAATCGAATTTGTTTTGCTTTACTGAAAGAACATTTTCTCTAGACCAATGTCCCCTTCTAGGCTGTAAAAGTGGATACAAGTCAGTAAAAAGGCATTTTGGTCATTTTGCATCACTAGCAAGAAACTTGTCATCAATTCCATTTGTCTTTTCAAACTTGTGCTTAAATTATCATTTACGTTAATTTTTAGCAAATAATCCTTCTTGGCTGAAATCAGAACCTCATCCAGTTAAGGACACTTTCTTTTTTTTTGTCATTTGGTGTGCCTCAAATTATCCAAATCAACCCTAATTTCACTAAGGAACTTCTAAACTCATAGGACAGAAAGGAAACAACCTGTGTTTAGCTGGTTGGCCTGAAAAGGGCCAGCATGGCAAGCAGGTATGCCAAAGGTGTGAAATCCCCCTCTAGCACACCTGTCAACTGCAGTTTATATTGCTCATAATCCAATTCAGTATCATTAACCAAAGACAGTGATTTACACTCTTACAAATACAGGATTTCAGATTGCAGATAATACGACAAAAGAGTATGGAGGCAATTAATTTATTTAGTTTTTGAAATGTTTGGCATGCATATCATTAGGTTATCGAACTGTCAAAGTTGTTTATTGGATGTAAAACTGTTAAACAAGGTTATTCAGCAGTTTCTCTACTTTTCAGATCCCTCCTCTGTCTACATCTCTCTTTGAAAGTTAAAGATCAGAACATTCTCCTATTTCTCTTCACAAAATCCCTCCAGATTAATAACGTATCTTTGATTTTCAACCTCTTCAATGCCCAGGTTATTGTTTCTTGAGTTTAATCATCTCTCTAAGTTATATATGGTTATCATAACATTTCTACATTTTGCATATATACTAGGTTTGTTTTATATATATTTTAGTCCATTTTTTATCCGATCCCGATCCTTTAGTTTGCCCCACCAATTAAAGGCAGAATCCCGATTTTAAAAACCATGAGAAAGTGGTCGAGTTTTCCCCTGTCTTATGTTGAGGCGTACTTTTGTCCCTTAGAATTTAGACAGTTAGAATGGTATTAAATACAGTAAGAGAACCGGCCTGGATTTTTTCAGTCTCTCTCTCTCTCTCTCCCTTTCTCTCCCTCTCCTCCTTTCTTTCTAGGGTTGTTTGTCTACACTAAAATCAACTATAGTATGACGATTACCAAGTTAAAATATAGTTCAAATATTTTCCCTGCAAAAGTAAGCATCAATTAATTGCAATAAGAAAGATGAGAAAACTTATGAATTCGAATACTATTGTAGCATTCGACTTACCATTTTTGAACTGTATAAGGCATTGATTGTGAGGTCAGCAATGTATGGTGGAAGATGGGGTTGAAACCAAGGATGTTGACGTATTTCAGGAATCGATATGCGTTTTATAGGATCAACAACAAGTATACAGGCAATCAAATCGCGTGCACCATCAGACAAATGATTTGGGGGTGCATATATTCCCTTCTGGTGGCAAAGGAATATCAGAGGAAGGAAATAGTGTAAACGGAAAATTGAAATGCAAGTGTTTTAGGTGACCTTTATCTTTGCGTATATGCTAGGAAAATCATCGTCACCAAAAGGAAACCTTCCACATAGAAGAGTATATAAGATAACCCCACAGCTCCAAACATCAACCTCAGGACCAGCATAAAGTTGTCCAGATATAACCTACAACAATAGGAATGTAATGTACACTGGAGCACAAGATTATCCCAAGATACATCTAGCTATTTGAACCCTCACCTCAGGAGCAGCATAACTTGGACTTCCGCAGCTTGTTTTGAGAAAATGACCATCACGCATAAAATTACTGAATCCAAAGTCAACAATTTTGACATTGCATTTGGAATCCAAAAGTAAGTTCTCAAGCTTGAGGTCTCGGTGAACTACCATGTGGAGGTGGCAATATTCAACACCCGAAATAATCTATTCTAGCAATGAATAACATTTTACCGGATTAATCTGAGCTCTTTGCAAGATCTTTAAAAAAAGACCAGATATATTATCTCTTTCAAAATGAATCAATAGGATCAAAAAGTTCTTCTCAAATGACATGGAAACCATTAAAAGATATTCCACTGTGAAACTAATTTCCTACCCAAAATGTTTTCCCATAAACTGGCTAAAGAATGGTAACAATCCTATAAGAGTGGCTAATCAAATAAAACCATATGAATTCTGAGCCAAACAATGCCATCAAACTTTAAATGTAGAAAGTTAAATACACAATAATGGCTCATGCATTTAATTACTCTCTGCTCTATATGTTTTTCTTTTAGATCATTAGCTATGTGTTTCACTCATACGCAAATATATGCTTGTACACCTCATCTAACTTTAGTGGCAGCCAAATAAAATCTTCCTTTGTATTACTAGGCTGGCATGTGCCTAACATACTGTAGCAGTAATCATTGAACCCAAAAAAATTATAACAATAATAGAAAAACTGAGCTCCTCCCTTGTAATGCATTTATTTATAATCTTTGTACTAAAGGATAATTAGTAGGCTGACCTTGCCTCAAAAATCATCTCCCAAGCATGCACTATATATCCCTATAAAATATTTCAACAGACTTCTACAAATAGCATATGCTACCATTCGACACTTTCCCATAAAAAGACATAGTTTATACATAGAATACAATAATCAAGAAGCAACATATCAGGAAAAAAAAAAGATAGTCACATCGAATTGTTGTGCTTGCATGTAGATGCTTGAAGAACATGTCATTACCACTAGAAACTAGATGAAACACCATCCTGCAAGCGTCTATGGAATATGCCTTACAAATCCTCTGAGTAACACAAATGAGAACTTCAACATTTTGTTGCCATTGAAGCTTAGCTTGAGCCTTGAACCTTCCCTCTTAATGTAGAGCATTGTTTTTGTTGTGAGCTTAGGTTAAGAGAAGTAGGAGGATTTAAGGTTCCAACTGTTTGAAGGGTGTTGACAGACTTCAGGGATGACAATGGACTGAAGGTTTAGAAAGTGACCGTTTGCAGATTTACAGGACTTTAACACATGAAATTCTGGACAGGAAACTTTTGGAGGATAAGGACCATTGGATGGAGGAATGGGCAAGAGTTGATTTGTTCTAGGTTTGTTGGAATTTGGGAGCTGAAAATAAAGTAGTTTAAGGGCTCTGAACTGTAGGTGGAGAATGGTAATTTGAGCTATACTGATACATAAAAACCAAGCACAAAATGAGAAAAAACCAAGGAATCCCACCTAGAGTTCCCCACGAATAACTCTCCTAGGTAAGGTTTGTATAACACGAGCACTCACAGCTTAAGAAGATACACAACTCATCATAAGCAAAACATCTTTATTTGCTCCACAAAAACCATTTTACGAAGACCAGAACAACTAATCTTGTAGTGGAGGGTGGTGCGAAAGCTAGCAGTAGAATAGCTTGCAAATTAGTTGCAACACAGTAACCTTTAGGTTTTGACTGGTAAACTCCAAGTATCCAAAGTTGATTTATAACCGAACTCAACACAAAAGCAGCTTACTAACTGGACATAAACCTATATTAGTTGACTAGTCACTGCCAACTCATGTACAATGACATAATTGCCAACCTGGTGAAAACCAAGTAGGTGAGCTGTACACGACCACTAGATTACTACAAGCCTAATTAATTGTCCTCTCCAAAAACCAAGTATAAAAATGTCCATATGAAGCATTTCTTAATTAGTCCTAATGGTTAATAACACTAGAGAAACATATGAGTTAAAAAGAATACTCAAACTCAGAGTAGAGCCCTATATATATAGTCAAATAATAGTACAAAGTGACCTAAACATCCTTGTAGTTTAGGCAAAATATAAAAGTCATTGTAAGGGTAAAAAAAGCGAAAAAGAAACCCTAACAAAGTAGACTATATTCTAACACTCCCCCTCAAGTAAGGCGCAAAAATATCAACTAAATCAAGCTTGACAACATAGTCCCAAAGAATAGATAGAGTGACAGGTTTAATGAAAATATCCGCAACCTGATCACTGGTTCCCACAAATAATGGAGTGACAATACCACAACTGACCTTCTCCCGAAGAAAATGAACATCGATCTCTATATGCTTTGTCCTCTCATGTAATACAGAGTCAGAAGCGAGTTGAATAGTAGATTAATTATCACAATACAATGCAGATAAAGAAGTCACTGAAAATCCCAACTCGACAAGAATCAATCGTAGCCAGATAATCCCACATGTGCCAAGTGCTAATGCCCGATACTCTGCCTCTGCTGAGGAGCGAGAGACAACTGATTGCTTCTTGCTCTTTTAAGAGATAAGATGAGTTCCTCGAAAAGCACAGAAACCTGTAGTAGATCGACTATTACACGCTTTCCTATAATCTGAATTTTAATAACAGACTAGAGAACCAGTCTGAGATCCTGATACGTAGAACAACTCAAGTACAAGACAAGACTTGAGGAACCGAAGAATATGATAAACTGCATCAAGATGAGCCAGTGTATGAACTGACTAACTCGGCTGACAATGAATGAAATGTCCGACCTACTGTTGGCTAGATAAATAAGACTACCTACCAACCTCTGATAGACAGTCAGATCACTCAATTCCTTACCTTCAACAGTAAGCTTTAGGTTTAGAATCATGGGTGATGATGTCGGTTTGCATCCCAGCATCCCAATGTCCAAGAGAAAATCCAGAACATACTTCCTCTGAGAAAGAACAATACCTCTGCTACTACGGGCAAACTCAATCCCAAGAAAGTATCGCAGAAATATAAGGTCTTTCACATCGAAGGCCTTCCCAAAGGCTACCTTAACCTGTGCAATCCCAGAAATATCATCTCCAATAATAATAAAATCATCCACATATATCAAAAGGATGACACACTACCTAAAAGTATTCCGTTGAATAAAATATGTATGATCAGAATGACATCTGGTGAGCCCTAAATGTATAATTACATCACTAAACCGAGAGAACCAGGCTTGTGGTGACTGTTTCAGTCCATAAAAAGATTTACGCAGTCAACACACCTTCCCAACATACTCCCTCTCACCACAAAAACCTAATGGGGCATCCATATAAATAATCTCGTCCAGATCACTGTGAAAAAATGCATTCTTCACATCTAACTGATGAATAGACTAAGAGTACTCCGTAGTCAGAAAAATAATACCTGATATATGAGTAAAGCCTTTCGCCACAAGCCTAACCTTGTGACAATCAATAGTACCATCCGCAAAAAACTTTAGGATGTAAACCCAGCAACAGCCAACAGACTTCACTCACGAAGGTAAAAAGACAAGATCCCATGTATGATTGCGTTGAAGAGCGTCCATCTCCATTTGCATGGCAAGAACCCACTGGGACTCCCGCATAGCTTCTGAAACAGAACGAGTAATCGGCATATCTGATAAGACCATATTATAAGCTCTGAATGTAGGAGATAGATCACTATAAGAAACATAAGCAGAGATCAGATATAAAGTCTTGGCGGTCTAATCATAACGAATAACTGGACGGCGATCACGCCGTGGATAACGACACCCTAAATCATCATCCTCCACTGACAATGTCTCATCAGAAAAAGTAGTTGATTTAGTATCTGCAATTTTATCAGTACTAATAACAAGTGCATCAATATGTTCAATGAACTGAGAAGTATTACTTACATTGCCTGAGGTAGAGGGAACATCAGCTAGGGATGTTCAAATTTCTGACCGGCCACAAGTTCCTACCTTACCTAACCCTACCCTACTGAATGGCTAGCCGCAAAAATCATATAGAAATGTGAAAGAATTTTTGGTCTTCCGGCAATTTTCGGGTAGGAATGCAGAATAGCCATCTATTTTCGCATTCCTACCCTACCTTACCCGCAATAATTTTTTAATATATATATATAAACTAAAAAAATCCTAAATCCTAACCATAGGCGGAGCAATTATGATTTTAATGGATTTCATATGGTTTAAAGTTTAAACTTAAATTAATTGTTATTGTATTTGTGTAACAATTATGGTGAATTGATATTCATACTTTCTTGTGTTTTATTATAATTCTTGTTGTAGTTGTTTTAGATTTTAGTGTTAATTGATTTATTGTGTTGTTAAATTGGTACATGTTATTTAATTAAATTGTTAAAATAATTCAAAAATTAATTGTTACAAAAATGTTTACCCGACTTCCTACCCGATTAATCGGGTAGGAAGTCAGGTAGAAATACCATAACTGTTGGGTAGGGTAGGCCAAGAAAAAACTCTTCCGCAAAGTATCGGGTAGAAAGACGGAAGAGCATTTTTCTTACTCGTAGGGTAGGGTGAACACCCCTAACATCAGCAGTGGAATGAGAGCGAGGGCGACGAACATAAGCTTGCAAAAGAAAAGAGACTGGTGACTCTATACTGACAAGGACGAGTAGCTCTAGAAGAGGAGAGACTGATGACTCTGTAGTGATAGTGACTAATGACTCTAGCTCCTATGGTAACAAAAAATTAAAGGGAGTATCATCAACTAAAGGGACAGACATAGGACTGGAAGAAAAATAAGGAATATGCTCAAGAGAGGTAACATCTAGACTATGATACATATAGCGCTTGATAGGATAATAACACAGATATCCCTTAGACTGATGACAAAAACCCACAAAGACACAACAAATCGCATTATCATCAAGCTTATGACGAGTAGGAGACCGATCCTAAACAAAACATGTGCAACTAAAAATACAAGGGGAGACCGAAAAAAGTGTCCGCTCAGAGAATAAGACCTGTAAGGGAGCCCTATGCTAAAGAACACGACTCAGTGTACGATTGCACAGAAAGGTAGAAGTCAAAATAACAAAATGTCAATAAGATTTTAGTACCCTCATACCTCTAATCATACAATATACCATCCTTATTAGACTCCTATTTTTCCTTTCAGCACCTCTATTTTGCTCAAGAGTATATAGACAAGTGAGCTGTTGAAAGATACCCTAAGACGAAAGAAGAGATACTAAGGCATCAGACACATTCTTTGGCATTATTTGAACGAACAGTACAAACAATGACATTGAATTCTGTCTTAATCCCCCGGAGAAACTGAGTGATGATAGGGAGTACATCAAACTTCCTATGCAAAAGGTAGACCCAAGTACAACGAGTATGGTCATCTATAAATATCACATAATATCGAGCACTTGACAAAACAGTAACAGGAGAAGGTCCCGAAATATCAGAGTATATTAGGTCAAATGGCTTAGATGACTGGTGCATGCGAGGAATATAATTGGTCCAAACATGTTTCGATAGGAAACATGTACGCAAAATATAAAAGTCATAGTAAGGGTAAAAAAGAGAAAAAGAAACCCTAATAAACTAGACCATACTCTAACAATAGCAAAGTATAACAATAAACAATTGTAGAACTCCAAAGTTTTCAAGTTTTTTTAGTTGGAGTTTCCTTGAAATTTCAAATTTTGGTTCTTGAATTTTACCATCTCTGGCTTCTTTCAAACCCCATGACCCCTGTTTTTCATTCATAAAAGAAAATGAAACTCAGTTTTCTTGTTTGATATGCCATTTATTTATGATAAAATGCTGAATACATGTACATGTGTTTCAATGAATTTACACATTTATCATTTATTTGTCTACCTCTATTCACACTTGTCCACTAAAGAGTTGCTGAAAACCTTAAATATGCATTTACTTGAAGTTGCCATAACTTATGGCAGTAGGTTTTTCTTCTTCCATGGTCTAAATTTTGCTAAGATGTCCTTATAAATCACAATACATCAGTATCAGATAACCCAAGCTAAACTGCATCTAGACATCTCATTCTGAACTTGTTATTGTCAATTCAAGAAATAAAGCTCTTCTCTTTTCTCCAGTAGCACAGACAATTAAATATCACAAACTGCTAAACATAATCAGCAACAAAAAAGAGTTATAAATTTGAGCAAGAAGATGAAACATAGTCTAAGAAGAAATTATGATTTGTACATATGATATTAAGCACAATACTTATAAATAAAAGCAAACTGTGAAGTGGAATATGTCTTCCATGCACGTGCATCTTCCTAAATACCTGCTGAAAGAAGTGGCGAGCTTCATCCTCCTGGAGTCTACCCTTCCGTGTAGTATAATACCATAGTTCACCTGAATTCATATACTCCATGACAATATATATTTTTTCACGAGTCTCTATGGCCTCATAAAAGCGAACTATATGAGGATGTGAAAGTAGCCTCAGTATATTGATTTCACGTTTCACTAAAACAACAGCATAAGGAAGCAATTGTCATGTACTGTCATGTAAGTCAATAAATAGCTTCAGTGATAATATTATTTGAGTACCAAATAAAGTAAGTAAAATCATGGGCAGTGAACAAGGAAATTTTGGAAAACAAATCATGGAAATCAAAATATTAACCACAAAATTGTAAGTCTAGATCTTGGCTATTAATATCTCAACTTCAATCCCAAATGCATTTGGTTTGCAATGTACCAAGGGGTCAGATGTAGATGATAGCAATACAGAGCACAGAGGACAAGTCAAGGGAGGCGGAAACAAATGTTGATATACGGAACCTATTGGATGAACAATCAGTTATTTCTACTGAAAAGAATCCCCATGCGAGAACTTACTAGGAGCTCCTGTCCAATTATCTTATTACTATTCATATGGTGCCCTTTGGGCCTGAAAACACACTGCAGAGCTGGATTGTGAAAAATCTGGAGTTCGGTGGATGTGATTCATGACCTGCAGGGGATGATAAGGGGTGGATATTGTTGGGTGATTATCTTTCTTGTTCTCCTCCATTGCTTTCTTCTTTGCACCCTGAGATTGAAAAGTCTGAGGAAAGAGGGAAGGTGTCCAATTCAAATTAATTCCAAAGTCATACTGATGGGCTTGTCAGGGAAATAAAACTGTTAGTGGACAGATCCTCACTGCTTATGGAGGTAAATTTCCAAAAATAGAGTGACTTTTGTTTTATATTATATTAATCCATTGCCTATAGCTTTTGTTCTTATGATTTGATTCCTTATCCACCATCTTCGTTACCTTTTTTTGCTAATAAAAATATCTTCTCTTAGCAAAAAAAATTGAATCCCACCCGCATGATAGTCCATGTAAGAATATCAACTCAAAGTGTCAGGAGTTCTAGGATTTCTAAATCTTGGATTTAAAACCTTAACAAGAAAAATGCATTTTCAAACTCATCTTTCCAAAACTCAACGTATTAGTAAACATGCTCACACACTGTTCCAGAATAGGATAACCACTTATGAGGACCAAACAGCAACCATAGGTCACTACTACAGGATAATAATGTAGGTCTGAGCTGCGAGGGGATATAATATTTGATCTCCATAACAATTAGAACTTATAAGTTGACATGAAACTGATAGTACCTACAATGCATACCACAATGATATAAATCTAATTTGCAATCATACTCATAGCAATACGAGAAGTTATAAGAGGTGATGATCAAGTGAAGCAGTAGCCCTACAAAACCAGACCCATTGTCACAAGTAATGGAAGATCCTAATTAATTTAGGCCATGTTTCATGACTTTATAACCAGGGCAGGAGCAACAGTATCTCGTCATTCAAACAATTTTAACATGGGCATGGAATAACTACCTTTCTTCATAAAGGGTTTCTATGGAGATTTCACGAGAGATATGAGCAAATCCATAATCAACTAAGAAGCCAGCAAGGATTGGGTCATGTCATTCCACATAGGATACCTACTCCTCAACAGATGCATTTGCTTATGTCTAAGATCTATGACATAGCTTGTAGAGCTTTTTGATTCACTCTCAAGAGGAAAATATGGGAAAAAGAAAGGAATATTGATGAGCAATGATTGGACAAGTGATCTAGCATTGGATTAAACCTAGTCCAAAGTGAGAGAAAATACAGTCTCAATTTCCTAAACCTTGTGTATTTTCTGTTGAATCATACCTACATAATAAGACTGTCGAATATACAGTGCAAGTTTAATTATCCAAATGGGTCCAGCTTATATTTTTATAGACTTGAAAATAAATTTCTTAACTGTATATTTAGTTTATTAATTGGGGTAATAATTTGATTTCTGAGGAGCCTATGCCAATCTGAGGGAACATGGCTCCATTTTTATAATAAACTTAAGTTTATCATCCATGTCAACATTATATGGTAATACAGAAACTACAATTCGAGTATAAACAGATGAAATGCTTAAGGTACAATTTTGTTTATGTACATGATGATCAATTTAAAACAGATTCAACTAATCTACTAAGGCATAATTTTTAGGGACAACAAAGGAAACAGTTCTGATATTATTTAATTGCCACTTGAGACCTTTCTTTACAGAGTAACGTGCTTTCCGGTGTAGCCACAAAGTCTAATTTTCAACTGGTACAGGGTTGGCATCACATCATGTTATCATTGTCAAATTTTCATATCGAGCATAAATTCTTGATCGGTCATGCAATCTGACAATATAAAGTCTTCATAAAGATATGACTAACGATTATCTATTTGCAAGTTCAATATAATGTTGCAACACTTGAGGTAACACGCAGGGGAGTATTTATGAACCTGAAATATATATCATGCTCCTCCAATGCTTTCATTGGTGGGTAAGTGTTAGATGCAGAATATCATGCACTATCCCATAATTATTTTCTTTATTACACCTCTAAACACTCGAAAGAGTGAAAACACTAAAGCTTTAATAATCTTAGTGTGAAAAAAAACTGTTGCTTGATGTTTATTTCTTACCATATGTAAACTAGTAAATAATGTTGCCATCCTGTAACTATAGAAAATTAAATTTTGTACAACTGGTAGGCGATCATACAACATACCTGTTTCTGCTGATAAATTGGCAATTGATTGACGATCAAGGATCTTTATAGCAACTTCAATCCCTGTTAAAACATGAATTGCAAGTTTCACTTCACTAAATGTTCCGGTACCAATGGTCTTCCCCAACCTATAGTTCGAAATAGTATGTGATGTGCTACGCTTCACATTAGTTCCATCCATTTTACAGCTGCCGAAAATATGTAACTACAAGTTATATAGTAGCAGTGACCCATAAAAAAAAAAGCAGATAAACAGAAGGCAGCAATAGCAGGCAACTATGCACGTGGTATAACCAAAAATTAAAGCAGTATCTAGCATGCCATAACAATACACCAAAAAACTATGAGGTTGTTTGGTTGGTGTATTCTAGAGGAGATTAAAGAGACTTACTAGATTAAAAAATTTTAATTTGGGTTAATAACTTAATACTACGTTTGGATGTAAAAAATACATTGTACTATGAATAGAATTAATCATACAAGTATCCCATGTGGATAACGTTAATAAAGTGTACCCAAACTATTGAACTCATTTTAATACCACCAAAAGAGGTAGTATTGTAATCCATCCTAGATGTATTATATCGTTTAAATTTTATCCCCCACAAACTAATAAAACCCTTGTGTCCATCTTTTTTAACTTATATGAAACATAACCTAAACACCGTGACTTTTAAACGAATAACAATGAGCTCCTACCTTCCGAAAAGCATGACTCCTAACATTTCTTTGAAAAAATGTATCAACTTCTTAAAATAGGTAAACTATAAAAGACACACCTCATTCACCTAATTGATGGCCATATAGACAATGATAAAGAATGACGCCCATAACAAGTAAATGCATGTAAACAACAATATATATTTAAGCAATTAAAGTATTTCAGTTTGGCTCAAATATTTATTTGAAAATATTAAAATGAATAATATTTATATAACTTTTGGTCCAATTGATTTCGTACTACCAAAAAAGGATGCACCACACCGGATAAGATTGAAGTGAATTGAAGGCATTTTAACCAACTCAATATTATTATCATACTGGCTACGTATTATCTAACTTTTAGGGTGGGTTTGCTTTAGAAAGAGGGGATTGAAAAAAATAATGTCTTGGCCCACCTTATACCACTTACACCCAATTCAGTATATTTGTTGATATGGTGACTAAGCCTGTTCCAATGCTGAAGTTCAGCCATTTTTTTTTTTTTCAAGTTCAGCCATTACTTGCATTTGCTTGGTGTTCATAGTGTTCGAATTATATACCCTTAGGGGTTTCTAGAGAAGGCATCCCAACATGTTTACTTTTGTTTCATGGTTTGATAGTATACAAGAAAGAGTGGAACTATAAAATCATAGCCAAGGTGGAGATTTGTCAGATAGTGTCTCAAATTCCAAAGTCTTCTAAGAAAGGACATTAGCCCTTAATTAAATCTTATTCATTGGTCAGGAGTAAATCTTTGTCTTCTACAAACAAGGTTGTAGACCAAGTAGTTTGAGATCGAGATTTAGCATGAGATTTTGACTACCCCCAATTTTGGATTTGCTTTCTTGTTTTGAGAATTTTGTGTAATATCTTTCGTTGATTTATGTTTCGCATGAAGACATAGTCTTTGGAGCTGAATCACATTTTTTCAAGTGCTTTGTTGTTTTTTTTTTTTATAATATCTTTTGATGTCGTTTGTTGCCGTCCAAAATTTCTTAATTATAACTTACCCACAAATTTGTTGGTGTCCTAGTACATGTATCATCTACTCCACAATATTATGAAACCACTAAAAAACTATGTGTCCTAGTACATGTATCATCTACTCCACAATATTATGAAACCACTAAAAAACTATTAGGGTAAATTATAATTTACACCCATAAAAGTATGCACCAAATTTCTATTTGGTCTTTGAAGGTCTAATTGCAAACAATTAAATCCTTAGAGTTTTAATTGAATTTCAATTTGGTCCTTACATTAAAATTCACTAATTTACTATCACGGAATAGTCATCCGTGAGGATATATTTGTCTGGTGATATATTTTTCCTTTATTTCATCAAATTTTGAGAAAAACAATAAGATAATGAAACTGAAAAAAAATATATATAGATTGAGAAGTTGAGAGATATTGTGTGAGAGACAGAGAGAAAGATTGATGTATTTGAGAGAGATTTCTTTGGGTAGACAAATATAATTTTATGGGCAAATCCTGTGGCAACAAATTAACACATTTGGATGAAAGGATTAGATTGAAACTCAGTTATAACTTTAAGGATGTAATTATTTCAATTGAAACTTCAGGGACCAGATAGAAATTAGGTGCATAATTTAAGGGTATAAAATGTAAATTATCCAAAATGTTATTCAAATCTTCCACCCTTTGTGTCACAAAATAGAAGTAAAAAGGAAACTTTTTTACAGGAAAACACAACACAACAGACTGTTTGGTATACCGAACGAGCTATCAATCCAAGCAAGCAGGTACAAAGTGAATCAAACATAACTGATATATACACCATGAACAACGATCAAACACAACAAAGAGTTTCCATAGAACAACACACAAACCCAATTAAACTACGTATTTATATGTGTGTGTTTGCTTGTACATACCAAGTTACAGCTTCCTGAAGGGATTCTGGATAAAATTGAAAGCGCAGGAAACAAAAGGAGATCAACCTCAATGAATTGAGATTGCAACAACCTATGATCAATAGAATTATAAACTTGTTGATAATCACAACCACTGAACAAAGAAACCTCGAATATGTCAATCTAAACAAAATAGGGCGATGAAAATCGGTTAACTTTACGTACCTATATACATATATATATGTGTGTGTGTGTGTGTGAGAGTATCGAGAGAGAGAGAGAGAGAGACCAAAAGGAAGCTTACAAAATTTAAGAACAGTAGTAGGCACTCATTTGGAAGCTTCCAACTTTCGCTTGAGGACGGAGACAAATAGTGGAGTACAGGGAGTGAGGACAGTGACAACTGATGGGAGGAAGGGTTAATACGACTTTTGACATGTATCTTTTGTTAATTTAGTTTTTAATATACTAATTTTATTAATTTCGTTTTTAAAATATATAATTGGTATAATTTTTCACTAGGTGATATCGTCTAAATAAATATACGTGCCACTTCTGTAAAAAAAAAATTAATAGTCCGTTTATATAAAAATCTATATGACATGAATTAAATATTTTAGAGATTAAATTAATATAATTAATATACTAAAGACTAAATTAATAAATATATATATATTTTAAAAATTAAGAATACTATTAACCCGATAAAGAAAGCACTTGACGGTGACCAACTTTGGGGTGACTTGGTTTGTGGCGGATTGACCTACTTTTGTTTTCTTTTTCAAAACGTCCTGGAGTTATAAATCTCTGATTTTATTAAATATTTAACATAACAGTGCTATCTACTAATTATTGTCGCAGAATATTACTGTTTAACAAAAAGATAATAAATTGATAAAATAAATTTCACTATTCTAATGATTGTCAATAACCATCGCATTCAATCATGGACGTGGGATTAATGTGATTTATTTTATCTATTTATTACTTTGTATTAAAAAATAATATCACAAATGAGCTGTTACATTAAATAGGTACTTATTTATGTTAAACAATACCCGGACCTCTTTTATTGTAAAAAGATATGGAGCACCCTTATTTTATACAATCATAACAATAATCGCACCTCATCACAAGAAAAATATTACGTCAAGGGAAATACTGCAATTCATGATGTATTTATCAAATCTCTTATTCAAAAATAATGTCAATCATTAAATCAATAAATTCTATAAATTTTTACATTCATTCAATGAATATTAATGTATCACATTATTTATAAACTACAATTTGATAAACATTTTGATGGATAGAGCATTTACTACAACAAAACAAACTTTTTCCGTGGAAAAGTTTCCTCGGCAAAAGTTAAAAATTGTCAGTGAAAATATTTACCGAGGAAACATATAGAGGATTTTTTTTTCTATTTTTATTTAATTTTTTAGTTTTTATTAAATCACTTTTAAATTCAATATCATACATATAATCTATAATATAAAATATTATAGGTTTTAATAAGTTTATTTGATGGTCTCAAATAGATTTATCCAATGATCACAAATATTCTTGTCAAAATCATTAACATTTTACCGTATATATATAGAGAGAGAATGATGTATGCGTGTGTGAGGGAGAGAGAAGGGGAAAAAAGAAAGGAAGAAGAATGTGGGTGTTTGGGTTCATGTTTAATGTACACATATAAAGGATAATTGTGTTTGGATGCATAAATTATTGTAAAATACCAAAAATATCCCTCAAGAGTTGAATATGACATGCACATGATATTTTCCGTTTCTTTTTTTAATGGCAGTTAATGCTAAAGACCGCAGTAACTCAATGTTTGAACTTTATGAACAAAATTGATAAAATTAAAACTTTAATGACTAAAATACGATGAGTGATAGCCTTCAGAGACTATTAGTATAATTTACCCCAGTTGATATGATGATTCGATGCAGTGATTAGTTGAACCGATTTTTACTAATTACTTTACAAATGAACTAATACCCAATACCCAAAAGAGCTTATTACTCAATTTATACTATTAATTAAGGGAAGAAAATTTTATTGTCACATTATTTATTAATCACTGAATTCATGCTCTCTCACAAGTTTTAAAAAATAGATTACATTATATACGGATGTCTCATATACTCCAACCAGTTGCGGACATCCATAGAAATTTGCTACAAATGACCAATTGACAATTTAGTGGACCCAACAGACTAAAACCCTCAATCTTTTTTTTTTTGCTGGTTACAAAAGGGGATAAGGACAAGGTAGAGCGCCTAGCGATTATTCTGATAGGCTCTCATCGAAGGATCATTAAGGCCCTTGATCGTGAATAGAACACTCCTTGAGACCAGACCTAACTAGGCTAATATCGCGGTCAACCATCAAGCTCCAATGAGGACTTCAAGACTCGAATTTCAAATCTCAATGTGAGAAGTAAAGTCAGTATCTCATTAAACCACCCTACTTGGTGGTGACTAAAAACCCTCAATCTCCCGTGTTCTTGGTTCTCTAAATCAAATTAGTTAAATTCTTGAAAAATAAAGGGACCTAATTTAGAAATCTAACTTGCGGATCTAATCAATTATAA